CTCTCTCTCTCTCTCTCTCTCTCTCTCTCTCTCTCTCTCTCTCTCTCTCTCTCTCTCTCTCTCTCTCTCTCTGTGCCTCGCTCTCGAGCAGCTATCGATCTATCTGTCTGTCGTTTCCAAGCTCACGGATTCGAACTGTCACCCGCTATTACCCTTCCTTCCCCTGGCTGATGTTTCATGGATGGTGGATATGCAATCTGGAATTCTTTGCCTTTATGTGTGGGTCACACTTGTTGAGAATCGTCGGTCTCTCGCTGTGGTTTATACCGACTCTCTTATGAATTCTTGTAATGACGGTGTGCACCACAACTTTCCTGAGGACATACTACATGTCTTAACGCACAGCTTCATACACACACATGCCCGCACCCATCTTTCTGTCCAGTGCTTTCCCACCAAAATTTGGGCAATCAGCTGTTGGCGCCGTCCACAATTCAATCCATCTCGTTCTCATTCTCATTCCTCTCACCCACACCCATCCCCTCCAGGATGGCTCTTATTGTCCCTTCCAATCAAGTCCAATGCAATTCAATCCAGTTCTGTCCACAATCCAAAACTACATAAGATTAGATTGGACTGGATTGGACTTAACTCGAATGAATTTCAGCCCAGTTAAGGTGAGATTGTATTGCACTGTGTTTGAGTTGGATTGGAGTGGATTTAAACCACCAGTACATCTGGAGAATTCAAATGAGCCTCTCCGAAAGGTTAGGGGACTCGGGACAGTGCCCGGCTGGGGGTGGGTGGAATTTTATTTTTTATTGTTCAGGCCTGGGCGGAATGCGACCCCATGGCACTGGACATATTTTTTTCTACTGGCCCTTCGGACGCCCTGTCCCGACCCTCTGAAATTTTAGGAGAGGCTCAATCGGATTCTCAACTTAGCTGGGGCCATGGACTGGTGGTTTAGTGGACTGGATAAAGACTAGATTTGATTGGATTCAATCCAGTTCAGTCCAATCGCATCCAAAACAAGTTTAAACTTTAAACAACACAATCTAATCTTATCCTGTTCTGAAAGACGGCATGTCCATCCTTCGGGACATCCGTTAAAATTGGAACGATACAGAGAAGATTAGCATGGGCCCTGCGCAAGGATGACACGCATAAATCGAGAAATGGTCCAAATTTTTGTAAGTTTTGTGTTGACAGAACACGGGTAACCCGCCCCAAAAAAAAAAAAAAAAAAAAAAAAAAAACGGCCTGTCCAATTTTACGTCTTTTATCATACATTAACTTTTCATTAGTTTCAGACACCTTTTTTGAAGTTTTTTCCTACTTTTCAACTGTTCACTGTGTTTGGTGGTTTCGCAAAAAATACATCCATGCAAAATGGGGCGTGGACGTGGCACGTTTCGCCTGGATGTTTTCGTTGAGAACCGGCTCGTCGGTACATCCCACCAGACGTGGCACGGCTCCCGTGAACCTGCGGGCAGTTCAAGGAAGCCTGAGCGGGCTAAGTACCAATGGGGGGTGCCTACTGATTAGAGCGAAGTGTGCGTGAATTGCCGTGTCGCTGGAGTTGAGTGCGATGTGTGTTGAGTTGGACACTACAGCCTTGCAGTGGTGGGGTGGATATAACGACCGGTATGGTCCCACTTTTGAACACCCTGTCCTGGCTGTAGTGGTTAAGAGACTTGGATCTTGAGGACGAGGGTGCCGATACGAATCCATGTGTGCACGGAGGATGGTGGTGGAGCCCCAGCCGCCCAGATGTATGGATCGGTAACTACTGTGGCACGAGCAGCGCGGTGTTGCAGAAAAATGGCTGGGAAAACTAGTGATGGTTTGAACCACCAGTATGTCCGAGTCTCTTTTTCCCTCAGCGAATTTTTCTGCCGTGTGCCAATTCCGAAACTAGCCCGTGACGGCGCTCTTTTTCTTTCTTTTTGGTCAACGATGCCGTCCAGAAATGTCCGGGGGGCTGAGCCCCCGCAGAGTGCGGTGGCAGTCCGCTGGCAGACAAATTTGTCGCCGATGTTTGTCTGGGAAACGTACTGATGGTTTGACATTTTTTCTGTTCATTCTGTGTGTTTTGTTTAGGGTTTGTAATGACCCGCCATAACACAGACTGAGAACACAGCTGATTTCTGAAGTTCTGCCGATGGAATGGATGCCTTGCTGAGATTCCCGCATTCTGCTGTGTTTTCTAAGTCTGTATGTGTGGGTGCCTGTTGACTTGCGTGCCTGTCTGAGTGCTTGTCGGCATGAATGTGTGTGTGCCCCTCAAGGGTACTTGCTTGTTTGGCAGGCCCGTAGGGCCGGTACTTACCTGTGGCCGTGGCATTGAGGGTTGCAGCAGGGAGAACACTCAAGTAGCGGAGCCAGGGGCCCACGGTGCTTAGAGCACCGGAAAAACACTCAAGTAGCAGGTAGGCGAGTACCACACCCAGTAGCAGTAGATGTGCCGGGTACTCGAGGCCGAGCAGAAGAAGACAAAGTTGGCATTTTTAGAGGCCCAGTAGCGGTAGGCTAGGTCTAGGCCAGTACCAGTCCATCCAGTCTGAGTCTAGAGCCTGTGCGGGCAATATCAGAGTTTGCAATGATGTTTCCCTCCGAAAGGGAGGACGTACCGGTTGCTTGGGAGGCCGGGCGGCCTGGAAGTCACCGCCCAAGAGGCAAGCAGGCCGCTATATCAAGAGGGCGAGGGAAGAGCTCGGTCTCATTCTTCAGTGTGCGAGTTGGGCGTCACGCTGTTGGAGCGTTGGTTGGAAGAGCGCTGGCTGCTACAGCGTTGCTGGGAGGAAGAAGCTGGGAGCTTCCACCTCGGCTATGGTGGAGCTCGGCTGGTATGGTTCACTGAGCAGCGGCATAGCTGCTTGAAGCAGCAGCGACATAGCTGCTTTGGGTTGTCCTTTGGACAGGAGGCTGAAGCCTCAGTAGTCCACCATAGCCTCGGCCTGCAATGACGAGGAAGGAGAAGGGTGGCGATGGCTATGGTGGACCTCATGTTGTGCCTGCAGTAGAAATGGGATTCGGACATTGATTCTGGTTCAGCCATTCAACATTATTATTGTTATTTGAACTTATTTCTTGTTTGAATAAGAGGGGAGAAGACAAGGAGGAGGAGATTGGTTGGCGAAGAAGAAGAGCCTTGTCATTGGTCTATGCTGGAGTACATCATCTTCTTCTTCTTTCATACTTCTTCTTCTTCTTCTTTCCCTCTCTCTCTCCTCTCAAGTTCATTCATTTCTTTTTGCAATTGGACGGCATTGTACGTTCTGATGAATGTATACTTCGAAATTGGCCAGGATCGTAACAGGGTTGCTGACATTACTGTCCATTTGTTTTGCCTGTGGCCTCACACGTTATTAACTTGTTAGTTTATTAGTAATTAAAATAAAAAAGGTAATAAAATAGTAATGAATTATACATTGATAATATACATATTGTGAGGAATGAGCCCTCAAGAAGGGGCCTTGCCATGATGTACATGTTCTGGGCTAAGGCCCCAGCAAGCCTCGTGCCCGCCCTAAGTGAAGGCGGGCCAGCAAATCAACAAGAGCCCTCTGTGCAWACATTTCACGAAGTGGGGTCYATACAGTTGCAGCACGCCAGTTGGTTGGAGTGCACCGAGTCTCGGATTTCAGCAAATGCTGAAAACCCAGGGCCTCTGAGTTAGTTTGGCCCTGGGTACTTGAACGTGAGGCCGACAATGCACGCTGGGTATAGAGGCCGAAAATACCAAAGGGAAATCGGCCCACTATCTGAATCTGGCCGCAGGCCTTGAGGAAAGAGGTGCAACTGCTTCCCCCGGGCCCCAACTGTATCGGCCTGGGTTCAGCCTCTGGGTCCCGGTCGCAGGCTGAAGGGAGGCCGCCCACACGCTGCACTGGCATATAGGCAAGCAGGGCGAGTGGGCAGGGATCTTGGCCAATGCGGGCATTGCTGGCACACTGCGCGGATGCATGTGTGCTGCGCTGTGCAGAGCTGCGCTGCGCTAAGGTGAAGCAGGCTAGCGCTAGGCGGTAGGGCGCTGCCTGCATGCAAGGCACTGGCGGCCATAGCCGGGCCGCATGAGGGTGCAGGAGAGGTGAGGGGTGAAGGTGGTCTTCGGAGGTGAAGGGCGCTGTGTGGGTACAAGGGAGAGTGTGGGTGAAGAAGACACGTACCTGGTGGAGGTGGAGGTCAGCATTGGTGTTGACATCATCACTCGCTGGTAGTCAAGTTGTCTGGTTGCTTTCATTGCTGTAGTCGTAGGATAGGCTGTAGAGTAGATAGGGCGCCTGGCGCCATTCACAAGAGAGAGCTACATTTGGGTTATGTTGTTGGTGTTGCCCTGTTGGGCATGGACATTGACTCACGATTCTTCTGTGTCATTCTCAATCGGATGGTTACTCGGTTCCATTGTGCTATCTGCTTTGGCTTTGACTACTTGGACTTCAGTGTGATTTTGCATTCTGGATTTCTGTGCTTCGTCCATATTCATGTTCCTTGCAATACATTTGACTATATATAAATATTAATAAATTGCCTTGTTTGGCAGTGGATGAGGGCTCAATGCTACTGACATTGTGTTCATAACTTTGTCTTGACGGATGCTCTCATTTTGTCCACCCTGCAGAACTCTGGGAAAATCACACCATCAGACTACGTTCGCATCACCAGCACTGCATGGTGAGTCAGATGAAGTTATAATTTAATAATTTATGAACATAATAAACTATCAAACATATAATATAATCATAATAGACATTCGTAGCCTCATGTGTGACAGCAAGGGAGTAGCATGAAGGGGGGAGTGGGTTTTCTTTGGGGTCATACATATATATAGACATCCTCAGACTCATGTGTGACAGCAGGGGAATAGCATGAAAGGGGGGTGGGGAGGGTGTTCTTTCGGGTCATTTGTTGGGAGCAGAAACACCTCTTGTTCCAAATTATTATTGGGTCTCTTTTCTTGCAACCAGAAAAACGAAGGTAAAAGAAAAGGAAAGTTGCAACTTGCAACGGGGAACCATAGCAAAAAGGCCTGCTGCATTTTGTGAGTGGAACCTGGCTGCTCTTACATCCAGGTTCATGCTCCCCAATCACTTACATAGCATCAGTGGGGCAATCTCCTTTGTCACCTGAAGAGTGGTGCTAGTCGAGTGCGTATTTTGAAAGGGGCACTTCTCTGCCGCCCACCTCCCTTCCACCTTGCTCCCTCCTTCCATTTCCCATGCCCATTGGCTGAGCATCTCATTCTCCTCTTGCATCTCCTGTCTTATTAAAGCGGGGTGGGAGGGGGGAGGGGGGGGGGGGGGGGGGGGGGGGGGCAACAGAGGGGATGCAGCCTTAAACTTCATTGTGTCCCACCCCACAGGCTTTAAACTTTGGAAGTTTGGAGTCTATTATAAAACTCTTGATCTGCTTATCGACAGTGAAGTACTGTTCCGTACTGTACTGTGTATTAGTAAACCAGCGGACGGATACACACCACCTCCTCTCTCTCCTCCTATCTCCAATGTGCTTTCTTCATGCAGACGTGTGCAGTTCATTCAATTTTATGGTAATAATTTATTCATGTCTTCCACCTAGTATTGTGTGCTGATTGATATGAGGCTGTTCAAGTCCATGTGCTGCTGTGATATGTGGCTGTGGCTCCATGCATTGCTGTGCTGTGCATTTGTTCATGTCTTCCACTTAGCAATATGCATGTCAATTGTTGATATGTGGCTGTGACTCTATGTGTGTTTTGAATTTATGTGTGTTCTCACTGTTTTGTATATTTGCTAAGCATAACTCCACAAAGAATGTGGTGTGGTGATTGCGACAGAGACTGTTTCGTTGGAGGTGATTGTGCCGAAGAGACTGTTTCGTTGGACTTTCACCAGCTCATCAGGAGGTTGAACCCCCGATAATCTGCATGGGATGCATTTGACTGATGGATAAGGACGCACCCACCACTTTGCCCAAAATTAACAACACTTACCTTGAGAAAAGCGGTTGATTTTACGCACACCAACCATGTAATCATAGCAGAGTGTCTAGTTCAGGCCCCTGTCAATAACAGCTGTCTGCGTGTGGGTGGGAGGGGAAAGGGAGGGGATGGGGGTGGGGGTGGGGGTGGGGTGGGGGTGGGGGGGTGCATTTGTGTGTGTGCTTGCGTTATGTAACTTCAGTGCTCAGATTTTCAACATATATCCGAGGAAGGGTGCAATTGCAGTGGGATCTGATGCTGATATTATCATTTTGAATCCAGAAGGGAGGACAACTATCAGTGCTGCCAAACACCATTCTAAGATGGACACAAATGTGTATGAAGGATGGGACATGAAGGTGAGGATAGGATTTCATCAATTTTCATGCAGTAACGATCTTTTTTCTTTTTCTTTTTGGGTCCTGCCTCCTTTCTATCCTGGGAACCATCAGTGCAGTTCCTTTTCTTTTCTTTGTTATGATCCTGGCCAATTTCGAAGTGCAAATTCACAAGAAAGTACAATGCCATTCAATTGCAAAATAAATGAATGAACTTAAGAAGTTAAGAGGAGAGAGAGGTAAAGAAGAAGAAGAAGAAGAAGAACGAAAGAAGAAGAAGAAGAAGATGTACACCCGCAAAAGACCAATGACAATTCCCGTTTCTTCCCCAACCAACTCCTCCTCCATATCTCCTCCTCTCTCATTCACACAATAAATAATAAGAACAATGATGATGAATGGCTGAACCAGAATCAATGTCCGAATCCCTCTTCTACTGCCAGCACAACAAGACGTCCACATAGCCATGGTCACCCTCCCGTCTCTTCTTCATCCAGGCGTAGGCTATGGCAATGGCAGAATACTAAGGGCCTTGCCCTCACGTGCAGAAGACAATGCAAAGCAGCAATGGCCTCTTTCTCTCAGGCTGCAATACCTGACTCTGCCTCGAAGCTTCTTGAAGCAGCGCTACCCCAACTGGGGCCTTCCAGATGCAGCGCCCACCAAGGTGATGAAGATGGCGTCCACCATAGCCAGGTGAGTACCCCCTGGCGCTTCCCTCTCCTAGTCCCTTCTCCCTCCTGCTACCCGAGCTCCTCCTACCCGAGCCCCTCCACCATAGCCAAAGGGGAGAGCTGGGCGTTCCTCTCCCCTACGGCACTGCACACCAACGCTCCTCCAGGCGCTCCAGCAGGGTGACGCCAAACTTGCACGCAGCAAAATGAAGAAGAGCTTTTTGCTCCTCCTGGAGATATAGCGCACAACCTGCTTCTTGAGCGGTGACCTCCAGGCCGCCCAGCCTCCAAGCAACCGGTACCTCCTCCCTTTTGGAGGGAAACATCATTGCAGACTCTGATATCATCCGTACTGGCCCTAAACTCAGGCTACTTGGACTGGTGCCCGCCTAGACCTAGCCTACCGCTACTGGGCCTCTGAAAATACTAACTTTTTGTCTTCTTGTGCTCAGCCTATCGCATCTCTAGTACCTGCGGGCCTACACTACTGCTACTTGAGTGTGTCCTAAGTAAGCTACCCCTTCGGCCACTTTAGTGTTTTTCCCCACTGCAACCCCTAAGTCACGGCCACAGGTAAGTACCGGCCCTACAGGCCTCCCAAACAAACAAGTGCCCTGGCAGGCCACACACACACTCAGGCCGACAAGCACTCAGACAGGCACGACGACCAGCAAACACGCACACACACAGACTTAGAAAACTCAGCAAAAAGCGGGAATCTCAACAAGGCATTGATTCCAGCGGCAAAACTCATAAATCAGCTGTGTTCTCAGTCCGTGTTTTGGCAGGTCCTTACACCCCCCCCCCTCTCGAGCGTGTAACTCAATCTGCGCCCCTGCCAATCACATCATAAGCAAACATAGCAAAGAGATTCCGTGTATGCTCAGTAGCAGTGAGTTTCGCAGAGATTACTGGGTCCAGATCAGTACCGAAAACTCTGTCGCTCATAAGCTTTGACAACGCGAGGTGCGCTCTGCAGCAACTCTTTCTTTGCAGTCCAGTAAAGATCGTCCAGCAGGTGATATGTAAAGTGAACTTGATACTCTGTCACGTCCCTTCCCAGTATGCTGTACAATTCTGTCTATCTCGTGACCACCATTAATTGCACGAGAGATCATAGGCTCATGGTAATCAAAAGAAGTAAGAGCAAGATACGGAAACAAAGACCGAATACATGCGCAGATGAGGGGGCATGTCTATCACAAGTGAAGGACCAAACTTATCATCGCGGAACAGCTTAGACACGTGAAAGACCGGATGCGTGCACAGATGAGGGGGCACGTCTATCACAAACGAGGGACCAAGCTTATCATCACCCAACCTTTAGAACCTTCCACGGAGCTGGACGACCCTCCTAAAGAGACATAAGTGGAAACCAGACTGGGGACTGCTCACCACACAGACCCCACCAACGAAAGCCTACCGTTTTGTGTCAAAACCAGACTCAACCAACTACCAGCCCAAGTTCGCATGCCACCCCATCATCAAACACGGCCTATATGAACTAGAGATCCTAAACAAAACACCACAGAACGAACAAATAGAAACCTACCTCCTCAGGAATGTTAGAGTCTCTCACAAGACACCCTGGTTTATATTCCAGCCGGAACTCAACGTCAACGAGTTGGAATTCGACCCAAAGGAATGGATCTGGGATCTGGACGCCGCCAGTAAATCGAAAAGGATAACAGAATACAACGTAAAGTTCGGGTATAACCTCGGACTACAAATCAGGGACCCGAACCCAAGGCTGGCAGAGAAATGGAGAACTATATTGAACCTAGATACCACGACCCCCATCACCATCACATGGACCAAATGCCTTCTCATCAGACCAAGTAGAATCCGAAGTGTGCAATGGCTAATAGCACATGCAGCCCTGCCAGTCAACCAATGGTTACACGAGAGAAGGAAACATTCTGATCCTGATAGCTCGGCATGCTGCTCAATGTGCAGCAACGACTCACCCGAAGACATCCCCCACTGCCTCCTCTTCTGCCCTGACGCAATCTGGATATGGAAGAAGATCCTTCGAGCTATGGTCGATCCTGTTCGCTGCCCCCCTCCCCCCCCCAAACACCCCCCCTATCTCTATCCTACTTCTAACTAACATCCCCAGCAACATCACAGGCCGCAGGGAAGCGTGGTTCATCCTACTCAGGAAGCTAGCACTGTGGGTGATATGGAAACGCAGATGCACTCAGACAATCGAGGGAACAGAGGTGGCAAGAGAAGAAATGTGGTCACTACTGCTGAGCATGGCAGAGATGGAAATCAGGAGCAGATGGCGGAGAATAGCAAATTCTACGAGACACAGACCAGAAAGACAAGCAACCAAAAAACGAACCTTCATGAGGATCTGGCTGCTAAAAGGCAAGGTGGCAACGATAGTAGACAATAGACTGACGTGGAAGAAATGGCACCAGGCAGAATCATGAAGACCACGAGGGTACATGCCGGGAGACCTGGCAAAAGGTTCTGCATGCTGATCAACAAAAAGAGGACCGGACACACAGGGAAAGACAAGGACAAGCAACAGAACACAGAGCGGACCCCCCCACTGTTCTCGTATAACAGGGACTCATTCGACAGGCTCTAAATAGAAGCCTGAGAGGAACAAATGGTCAGGGCGAGCTGACAGTCAATCCTCCTTAGAAGGAGCAATCAATGCTGATCAGGGGTCCTTCGGCCAGACGGAAGGAAGCGTTGAGTGGGTA